GTGTGTACTACTCGCTTCAGAGGACAGGACAAACAGGCTACTGCGGGTACTATTTAATGAAGATGCCAGTTGGGGACCTGTGAGGCGTCTTTTTCTCAAACTAGAGACTCTAATGTACTTATCTTCTTGCTCAGTTGTGTAACGCGGCCTCCCACTTCTTTTTCTACTCTGGTTAGAGCCTGTTTGTGCTCTCCTCTGAAGGGAGTAGTACACACCGTTGGAGGAAATCTTCAATTTCCTACAACGGTAGTGTATATAGATATTATATATATCTATTTATGATAAAAAATTATATGTATATATAGATTACAAAACTTTATATTTTATATACACGTATATAAAATTTGGATGTCAAGGGGTTAAAAAACACTTCACTAGAATCAATATAGGACATTTTAATCTAACCTTAACAGCTTTTTATTTATTTATTTTTTTTATGAAAAAATGGGAAATTGAATTTTTTTTTTCCTTGATATTTGGTGAAATATTTCTTTCTAATTCTACCGTAGTTTGAGAAACTTTTATGCAATTTTACCTTAATATTACGAACCAAATCAATTTGCTAATTAGTAAAAGAAGCTTTCCTTAAAGCAGTTTTTCTTTAATGTAACATGGAATTATTTTTAAAGGTGTTTTTTTTTTTTATTCTGTGTGGTTCAGATGCTAAAATAGTGGAAAAATAATAACTTATAATTCATCAATTTTTGAATCCCTTTGATAATTGTGATATTTCCAATGAGAGGTGGAAGTGAGATCAGAAGTCGTACCGTACGTCTGTCCGTTAATGGAGCACTTGCTGAATACCATGATGTTCTGTGTGAGCGTGCCGGTCTTATCGGAGAAGATGAACTCCACCTGACCGAGCTCTTCGTTCAGAGTGGTGGTGCGAGCCTCAGCCGGGGTATCAGTCTGAGTGAAGTACATCTTCTGGTCCCAATTAATGAAGAAACTGTGACCGAGTCGCAGGACCTCCACACTAAACGAAGGTGTAAGGAATGTTTCAGAAAATTATGTTCCTTCAAAAGCCACTGTTAAGCTGATATATAAAATGAAATAAAGACGTTCTTTATTTACCTGACATACAGGGAGATAGGCACAACAGTGTTGAGGATGATGATGTAGGACCAGAAGGTGAGGAAGCCAGAAAAAACGGCACTGCTCTGAAACTCCTCTGATGGTAAGAACACCTGGAACCCTCTGCCGATATAAGTCTCCCAAATGGTGTTTCCGATTGCCAGAATCACTCCCATACAGATGAGGAAGGCAAAAATCTGAAAAAAAAAATGAATATCCTGGTCGGTCGTAAAGACTTTATGAGGAGCTCAAAGACAGAAGTGAATCTAAAATGTTTAATCGGACCATTTAGGTTCAAGTCCAGGGTTACTTTGACATGTTAGGATGATTCTGCTTGGTCAGTTTCAGCTGCTTCTTATCCATCTACTGAGGTGTCAAAGGTTTTAATGTGCATTTCTCCAGTAGAAATATAAATCCTGCTGTTTAAAAGCACTTTTGTAAAAGTTAGAGGATCAGCTTCAGATTTTTACTCCAGTAAAAGTGTAAAAGTACTGTTTTTAAAACTACTTTAAGTATAAAAGTAAACGAAATACATGAAAAAATTATGTACTGCACTACCCTATTACACTAACAACACCAAACCAAAATACTGTATAACTGCACCATATATATTTAACGCTTTGAACTTCCATATCAATGCATTTTTTTGCCCCATGTTTTTTTTCCTCCAACACTGTTTACATTTGATCACTGCTGCACTTAAGAAATGGAAATGTTCTGAATGCTTTACAAAAACGAAATTTCATTTTGTGTACAATTCTGTGTATAAAAAATGACAATTAAAGTTGTCTAAGTCCATTAAAGGAACATGTTTCTACAATTCTGGATGATAACTTCCCTAGAATTAATTAAGTACACTGGAAAAACAATCTAGAAATAAGTTAAAATTTCCTAAATTAAGTGTATTTACCCTTAATTTGAGTAGGTAAGTTAGATAGTTTGCCAATAGGATGAGTATTTTTACTCTTAAAATAAGATCATTAGATAATATACACTTTAAATAAGAAAACACAATTGCATTGTCTAATTTTAAGCGTAAATTGTCTTGTTCCATTGGCAAAATGTCTCTTTTACCTTTTCAGTTCAAGAACAAATGCACTTATTTTAAGAAAAAAATACTTTTCTAGATTTGGATTTTTTTCCAGTGTGCACTGCAAAAAAACATCTAGAAATAAGTAAAAGATGTCTTAAATTAAGTGTATTTACCTTAATTTGAACAGCAAAATAAGATGATCTGCCAATGGAATGAGTATTTTTACTCCTAAAATAAGATAATTAGATAATATACACTTGAAATAAGAAAAAGCAATATTTTTTTCTTATTTTAAATGTAAATTGTCTTGTTCCATTGGCAAAGTGTCTCACTTACCTCCTCAATTCAAGAAAAAAATGCACTTAAATTGAGCAAAAATGACTTATTTAGATTTCCATTTTTTGCAGTGTAATATAACAAATGGCAAAAGTATGAAATTTAAGTTTGCATCGTTTTGGAAAACGATTTATTTTGGTATGGGGAGAGCAACAAGTTGGGGCAGCACCGAGTCCAACCACAAAGAAATTAATTGTCTGGATGAAACTAATTATTTTCATGTTTTTGTTGTTTTTTTTTTTTTTTTATACCAACATGACATAATGAAAATGAGATTAACCCTATAATGCCAAATGTATCATATTTGATACATACGGTTTCTGAAATGTTTTGCGTCTGACACCTTTTGCATAATTTAATGGTAAAAACTTTGCTCAAAATCCTATTGTACACAATCAGATATACCTGATAACAGACAGCAGAAGACTACACAGAAAATAATCTTGACTTATCGCATAGTAATAAATTATTAATATCAAAAATGTATTTGTGTTTTTTCTTTTTACATATTTAGTTAAAAGGCCAAATAAGGAATTCAAACAAAAAAAAAAAAAGTAATTTTTTGTTTTGTTTTATTCTTGGATCGGGCTTTAAAAGGGTTAAGGATGCTTTTTGTCATTTTCTATTAAAATGCTGATGCGAAAGAAGTAATTAAAAAAAATAATTCTCCACCATAAAGGAAAAAAAACAGAGCGCCGAATCCTCTCTGGAAACACTTCATGTTGTTTACAGTGAATGTGTACAAAGAGATAAAGAGTCCAACTTTACTTTAACACCTAGATTACAGCCTGTATCAGGGGGGAACCTCATTTAACCAGGCATACAGGGACTTCAAACCAAAAAAAAGTAATTTTGTGTTTTGTTTTATTCTTGGATCGGACTTTCAACTCCCTCCAAAGATTTTCTATGGGGTTGAGATCTGGAGACTGGCTAGGCCACTCCAGG